TAATGGAGGTTTAAACATTTGGAAACATCACAAGGAGCCTATATTCTAGTGAAATTTTAAATATTAGCCCAAAAGCTTAAACTAATAGACCAAGAAGACGACAAAAAATAAGGATTGTACGTCTCTCTTATTTGTTTTTGTTATTAATAAACTTCCTAATTGTGAAGGAAACAACTTCCTTTTCTCTCATTCCACAATTGAATGCAAAAGAAGTTCAAGGGAAACTCCCCGGTTGAAAATTTATTGCAGATAAGTCGGAAAACAATCAGTGCAAAATAACATTTTTCCTTGCAAGCACCTCAAAAGATTACTTTCAATTTTCTTATTCAGCGGGGAAAAATCCCCCTTAAAGTATATCTTCTTTAAAAGGCATAGAGAAATGAATGTCTTACACATGAAGTTGATGCTAATTGACTTTTTTGGCTGCAGGTACTGAATTTTTTAGTCCTGATGGTACCACATTGAAATCAACTGAAACGGAGTTTTCTGTTGCCGACAAAAAACTTGAAAATGGGAATTCAGCATTCGCGGACATATTGGATGATCTTCAAAATGTTCTCGAGGTTGAAGATGGTGATGAGAAACAAGATTGTAATCACGTTAACATAGAAAATGGACTAAATTTGCAAATTGATTCTGTAAAAAAGGTTGAAGATGAAATAGTGCCAACTACTGATCCTGAAACTCAAACTCATCGACATAATGAGGTTGTAGAAACTCTTAAATTAGATGTTTCCGAGCTAGATCTTGAGAAGGTACTAGAGGAGCAGGAAACTCATGATTTATTTTGTCCTAATTGCCACTCATGCATCACAAAAAGAGTAATTTTACGCAAACGGAAGAGGAGAGTTCAAGATTTTCGATATGAAGAACGCCCCGAGAAACTACATGTTCGACCAAATATCGTATCTACTTCGACTGAAGTTGTAGAAACAATTCGTGATGATGAGCCAGATGTATTCAGATGTTTGTCGTGCTTTAGTTTTTTCATTCCAAGAGGTATAGCTTTTTTACATTAATTGTTCGTTTTTTTGTTTAATTTCATGTAAAAATTTATTTGATTTTTTGTTATTTTGTTGGCTCCATTTTGTTGAAGTTGCTCCGTTAAATCGTGCTTTAGTTTTTTCATTCCAAGAGGTATAGATTTTTTACATTAATTGTTTGTTTTTTTGTTTAATTTCATGAAAAAATTTATTTGATTTTTGGTTAATTTGTTGGCTCCATTTTGTTGAAGTTGCTCCGTTAATTTGGTTGAGATCCACCCTTTGAGGTTGTTTCTTAAAATTCATTCTTCTCTGTGTTCTTCGATGGGCAGTTCAAGGGACTCCATTCTTTAAACAATTCCTAGCATATAAAGAGTTTAGTTGGATTAGCCTACCAAAGAATATTTCTATTTTTCATGATTCAGCATGCACGGCGGAAAGATTAAATAGATGAAAATGAAAATATTTATGGTATTCAATAGCAAAATTACATATTATGGCGATAGAGGAAAAATGATGATGAATAATAAATAAATTTTGATGATATAGAGGAAAAATGATGATGAATAATAAATAAATTTTAATTGGCCTGCCAAATTCATTAGTAATTTTTAATTGAGAATGGGGCTAAGGCAAAGTTAGATTGCCATTACCATGACCTTTTGTTATGATTTTGACTCATATATGAGATAAAAGTTACATAAGTTTAGGTGTGAGATGTGTAAATACATAAGAATTCTGTGCTGGGTATGTAAATTTCCATTTAATGTGTTGCTATTGTTGCATGCAGAAAATGGATTTGATATATTCCCATTTTTTCGAAAAAGGGAGGAGAGTGTGAAGGTGCAGATTCCCAACATTCAATCATCAGGACAGACATCTACCAGGGATGGCAGCTGGCTATCTTTATTTTTCAAACCAGAGTCAAGTAGGAACAAAGGAAAAGATTCAGGTTTGTCTTTGCTGTAAATTTTTAGAATCTCAACCAATTCATTCAGCAAAATGAAATTTATATTAGTTACATTTTAAGGGCAAGAAGTAGGATTAATTTTTTTCATGGAAAGTTGGAATTAGTCAATAGTCTGAGTATTATATATAATTGGTATTGAAAATATAGTTTTATTATTTATTTTCTTAATGTAGGTCATTGGTATTGAAAATATAGTTGCATTTAACAAATCCATTTTTGGATACATTTAAGCACTTGGTGAAGGAAATTAATGAAATATATTTCTTATAAAACTTATAATTTGACTTCTGTCTCTAAAAAATTGAAGACTTAGTATTTCCATGATTTAAGGAGATGGAAGTATGGAATAATGCAATGCTTTCTTAAGAGCCTAATGCAAATTAAAGTAGAACAATAGCTCCTTAACTATTTGGAGGGTGGAGATAAATAAAAAGTTTTTTAATGAGTTTTATGGTAGATAAGATTTGATTTCTACATTTGGCTGCACAACCTGTCATGTATTGAATATATGTAGAAGCATTTAGTTCCAACATTGTCCAAACAATTGAACTTTTAGTTGTTTTGAGGGTTTTTGAAAACAAGTTCATTTGTTTCAAGGAAAGAAAAACTTGAAGAATAACAAACTTTTTTTTTAAAGAACTGAAATATAAAAAATAAAAAATAAAAATTAAATTGATCTCAAACAGGCCCTCAAGTGTTTAGACTTATTAAAACAAGGCGTGAGTTCTGTTCTTTATTTTTTTTATGAACAATATGTTTTTATATCACTCTCATCAGTTGTGTTTGATGAATCTATGCATCATTGCTTATGTTAGTTATGACTTCTGTAAATTACAGTGCCTATCCCAGCAGCTGTGTTGCCAGCACAATCTCCAATGACTCCTAATATTGGATATTCGGAACAAAACAACCAAAAGTCTCCAGTTCTTACTGCATCTGAAACCCCAAACAATGCAGAAATTACAAAATCCAAATTTGCTGGTGCAGGTCAGCCACTTTTTTAAACATCTCAGACATAATTTAACTCATGTATCTCTAACTTTCATATTTATTTATCAGAACAATTTCAATGCTTTATATTCAGCATTGCCAATAGCTTAAGGCACGATAAGTTATTTCCTTATTATAAGTTTCACCAAACATGTTTTTGTTTTATGTTAAAACAAAGCAAAACAAAAATAAAACAAATTAAAAACAAAAAATAGAGAGTGATCCAAAACAGTCCCTTTATAGTGTATGATCAATTTTCTTTATAATTATTTCTCTTCAGCACACCACTTCAGTGAGTTAAGTCTCTGTATTAGTGTATGATCAATTTCTTGGCTCTTCTAAAATGTATATAACAATCATCTTAATTGAACTAGTCATCTATATTTAAAGATTAATAGTTTCTCTTACATTTTAAAGTCAACAATCATTTTCTAGGTTTTTATTATTTTTTATTTTACTTTTTGCCTTATCCTAGTGCGTAGCTTGACATGACAGCGTGCATTCATAAATAGCTTTCTTCTTCTTAGATAATATTTGTACTAATTTTCATTAGAAAGTGCTCTTTCATAATTATTGATCTTAGCCATTTGAGCTTTGGTTACAGAGACCTATCTTATGCAATTACGAGCATGATTTACTCTTAAATTGTTAAGGTGTCGTGTGGGATCACTTCTGCCTTTTATTTTCTATTTTTATGTTTTTGTTTTTTGTTTTTTTGTTTATTTATTGTCTTGAAATAAAATATGTTTCTCATGTTGAAAAGAACTTTAAGTTGTCTTGATTTTTTTAAAACCAAAAAAAGAAACCGCGTAAAAAACACACCAAACAAACATATTTAAAAAGATAATAATAAAAATAAAATTGATCTCACTCAAATGGGCTGAAGTGTTTGGAATTGTTAAAACAAGTTGAGAGTTACGTTCTTTATTTTATTTATAAAGAATATGTTTTTTAACACGCTCAGCAGTTGTATTTGATGGAATGGGCTTAAGTGTTTGGAATTGTTAAAACAAGTTGAGAGTTATGTTCTTTATTTTATTTATGAAGATTATGTTTTTTAACACGCTCAGCAGTTGTATTTGATGAATCTATGCATCATTACTGATGTTGATTATGAACTCTGTAAATTGCAGTGCCTATCCCAGCAGCTGTGTTGCCAGGACAATCTTCCCCGACTCCTCATGTTGGATATTCTGAACAAAACAACCAGAAGTCTCCTGTTCTTACCGCATCTGAAACCCCAAACAATGCAGATATTACAAAACCCATATATGCTGGTGCAGGTCAGCCAATTTTTTAAACGTCGTAGACTTAATTTAACTCATGTATCGCTAATTTTCATATTTATTTATCAGAATAGTATTATATGATTTATTTTCAGCATTGCCAATAGTTTAACGTGAAATTGCTTGAGGTACGAAAAGTTATTTTCGTGGAAAGATTTACATAAATACCA